CCACGCCGCCACGCCCACCTGCTCCATCAAAGCAGGTCGGGGTTGGAATCCTCAATACACCAACATGTCTTCTGTGTCTGGGCACAGTTTCATGTTGATGAGGTCAAAGGGGTCAGATAGTGAAAGTTCACAGTAAAACATTACACTTCCTGTACTCAGGGGGCGTGGCCAAAGTGATGTCATCATTCGACCACAGGGTATTGTAGGACACCCGATGATGATCAATCATAGAAACTTTGGTGCCTCTGTGAGTTTCTGTGTAGGAGATATAGCAGTTTATTTTTTTACGGCGAGTAGGTGAACTTTGACCCCTGCTAACCCCCTTCAGCATACTCAAAAACTCACCGTTTTGATAACTTTAGATGGGACATGCCTTATGAACAGACTGACCGAGTTTGAAGCCGATCAATCGAAATCCCTAGGAGGAGTTCGATCAAATACGGAGGCTGTAAATGGCAAAAATGGCCTCAAAATTGGACCTTCAATCCAAATGGCTGACTTCCTGTGATACTTGCACTATGACATTAATTGTAAATTTTGAGCGTCTGGGGAGCTCTACAAGTGTACCAAATTTCATGTCTCTAGGATAAAGTAAGTGAATAGCAAAGGGTCCTTTGAAAATTTCTAGGTGGCGCTATTGAGCCATTTCTTGTGGGATTTTTGTGATGACCTTAAAAATCAAAATTTTTAAACAGGCTTAAGGCCTCCGCCAAGTTTGGTGAGTTTTCCAATATGATAAGGCCCCAAAAGCCCCCCAAAGAGGTGGGAAGAAAAATAATAATAATAAAACAGTAGGAAAACAATAGGCCTTCGCAGCGCTTAGCTGCTCGGGCCTAATAAGAAACATTACAGAAACAATAGTCCTTCGCAGCGCTTAGCTGCTCGGGCCTAATAATAATAAGAAACAGTACAAAAACAATAGGCCTTCGCAGCGCTTAGCTGCTCGGGCCTAATTAAAAACCGTCGCACTCCAACCACTTCCTGTCGTCTTCTTTGAGGTTTCCACCAGTGGCATCATCCGGTTTGTGACCATGTGACTCGTGATGTAAAAAATGTTTTTATTGCAGCTTTGTGAAAAATGAGAAAAATAAAAAATATCAATCACTTTTTATCAAAAAGTTTTTTCTAAATAACCGTTTTTCTGTCAAGTGAATTTATTTTTGTCTGGCCAATAAAAACGCAGCTGCTGTCCCCATGACTGGCTTCATTGGTCCAGTTCCATTAGGATCAGAACCGCTCCGGTTCCAGGAATCATCTGGTTCGGATCCACGTCTGGTTCCTGGAACCGGACCTGGAGGTGAAATTCTTCTCAGTAAAATGTTACGGCGCGACGGCGGAGCCTGATGTGTGATGAGTTTAAACAGGATTAAAGGCTGTTTGGACCTGCGTGGCGCACACACACACACACACACACACACACACACACACACACACACACACACACACACACACACACAGCAACCTGATCTGCTGAATCGCTGCTTTTAGCGTCACCTGAACACAAACCTGCTGATCTTCATCAATCTTCTCTCAAACTGAGATTTTTGTAAACATCCAGGCTGGAAATTCACCAGCAGAAACTTTATTGCTTTGGTATGTTGAAGTTGAGACCAGCAAACCCGAGTCGAGACCCAGACCGGTGCCCTGCGCCCTGCGCCGGTCTGGGTCCATAAAATGTGAAATATGAACAAAACTGCTTCTTAAAATGATCTGGAAAAAAAAATCACATTTCCAAAAAACATGTAGATATTATATACTTAGAGCATAAATATATTTAACCAATATCATTATCAATTCAAACTCTGTGTTCTGCTTTGCTTCCATTTCTGAGCCACAATCCACTGAGTTTTGGTGCCACCCCAGCAGCATAACGCCCTGGGCGGTTGCCCTGCTGCCCATGTCAGAAACCATCTGCTGCGTCAAATCCACTGAGCTAACCTCTATAACCTCTATTGGAGCTTCTTTCCTAAGTGACGACAAAGTTAGTCGTCGATCCACCGACTGTGACAGCGAAGCGCCGCTGAACTTCCATGTCTCCATGTCTGATGATTTATGTGTTGGGATTATATTCCTGAGGATTAGACAGACATCTGAGCTCAGAGGAAACCACTCAGACGCCAACCACGTTGTCATCCAGTGAAACAAAGATAGGAACTAACAAACTGGACAACATGCTGGTAATTTAGTGACATTTCCATAATAAAGTCCTGAGACATCAGGACCAGAAGTTCTGGTTCTTCTTCTGTGGTTTCCTGGAAGAGAATAATAAACCGTTTCTCAGGTAGGAAATGTCCACAGGAAGTGATGTCACGTCTGGATCCCTGAAAGCTTGTGGTGGTTTATCGACACTGATCAACCAAACCCGTTGGTTCCAGGCTAACGCTGCGTTAGCGTTAGCGTCACAATGACCTTGTTGACGTCAGCAGCAGCTCATTCAGACTTTCAGTCTAATCTGTTGCAGCTGAACTTTAATCTGGAAACAATCACAAGCCTCATTTGACTCAAAGTGTTTGGAATAATCACAAAAAACAGGCAGATGTGGCGTCGTCCCTGAGGAACTCCTCGGGTCTCCACAGAAAACACATCTGGGGAAGCGGCAGGGGGCGCTGTTTGCAACGTTACGCAGACAAAAACGAACAGAGTTATTTAGCCTGAGGAAAATGAGGCTCAGGTTTCATAGTCATATTTTCACCACATTATTCATTCATTTATTTATAAAGATCACAGTTTCAAACTAAACATTTAGCTTATTCATATTAGGATGTAGTTGATATAGATTAGCTAATATGAATATAAAAGCTAAATATTTATAATATTTGTAATTATTACTACTAGCCAGATGTTTAGGTAAGAGCTAAGTATTTAGCTGCCAATTAAATATTTATTTGCAAACTCATATCCATATTATTTAGCTTATGAACATGTTAGCTAAATATTGCGCTAACTGCTAGGGTAACGCTACCTACCAATTAGCTTGCTAATGAGCTGGTTATTAAGCTTTATAAATATTTATCAAGCATGATAGCTAGCTAAGTCTTTAGCTTGCAGCTAAATATTTAGCAGGCTAAATTCTTAGCCTCAACTAAATGTTAAACTGGAGGCTGGACTCATGAATGACTGACAGTGAAAAAATGACCCAAGTTGTAATAAAGTTGTTTTCAGTAAACTGCTCTGCCTCTGCGTTTTCCTTCAGAATCAAATACAACCAAGTCCAAAACTATTCATACCCCCAGCAGGTTCAGGTACTTTTTCTCCAAAGTGTTTCTGAAGGTCATCTGAAGGTCCTGGAGTTCTGGCTCTGACATGATCTGCGGAGGCCGGGAATCATTAGGGTGATGGAAGGAGGCCTTCCAGCCTCAAAGCTCATTATCAAAGATAACAGAAAGCTGCAGGAGTATGAACAGTTCTGGGTTTATCTGCAGCTTTAATCAGTTTCCAGACTTCCAGATAAGAAGCAGCAGCCGGTTCGGCAGGTGGAGCCGCTCTGCTCTTATCAGCTCCGACTCGTTGAGGTAAAGTAAATGCTGGCAGATGGTGACCCTGGAGTTTCAAACACTCAAACATCCATTAAACCCTCTTTGTTTCACTCCGGCACTTTCCACCGCAAACTTTCTCCTTTTCTGACCTTTCAGAGTCGGACAAATAACGGAGAGAATATCCGATTAATCATTTATGGAAACAGACTTGCTCTGGTTGGGGGTGTAAACAAGGGTGTGGAGGAACCAAACCCTCATTAAACAGCAGAGTCAACAGGCTGGGAATAAACAAAAGGAAGTCTCCACATATTTACGATATCACATACTTCCCAGTCAGATTCCAGGCCGTCACTGGATCACCTTCAGCGACATTCGGCTGATTGTTGGCGTCGCGTCTAAGAAGCGCTGATAAGATCGGCAGGGTGATGTGAAAACAAACTGGACGATAAAATGGCTTCCAGGGGAGGAAAACACCTGGAGAGCGCCGGGTTGGGTTCTGATACGGAGCGCCGCAGCGGACCAGAGGAACGCCGCCGGATTGTTTCTCCGTACAAAGCCAGAACAAGGAGCCGAGTCGCAATCACGCCGCTGGACTTCCCTTCCTCACACTGAGCCACAGAAGACCGAGCACTTCCCCTGAGCCCAAAATACTCCGAGTGTTTGGTAACCGGGTCGCATGGCGCTCCACTTCACTCACTCAACGATTTCTCAAAGAACCCGATTCAGAAGCTGCAGTCTGACATGGGAACCATTCATCTGTACATGAAGATGAATAGCAGGACAACTGACCAACTGACCGACGGTTTGAAGGTGAATTTGAAACTTGAGTTTTTCTGCCTGCACAGTTCAGACCCTCCTCGGTTTCCTGGACCGAACCAGAACATTTTGGGCTGAACTCGGCCGACTGAGCTTTAATTTGACAAACAGAAACGATCTTGTGTCATCAGTTTGATGTGGACGTTTCCCACGGCGCTGCAGGCCGGGTCGGTCAGCGGGTTCTGGAACATGGGCCCAATCAGTGATGTTTGAACCTTTAACTCTGCAGAGCAAAGACTGGCAAAAACTGCAGGCGGGTCATTAAATTATGAAGGAAAACATTTTTAGTTCACCTGCTTAATAAACTAATTCTGTATGAAATTCATTAAAGATCTAAAACATGTTGAAAATGAGCCATTTTCAACATTTGTTGGCCAAATCTGAACCGTTCTTGACTCAGAGGTCCAATGAAATAATTTCAAGGACCACAAATGGCCCACAGGCCACACAGGGAACACCCACTAGCATTAGCTATCAGCATTAGCTATTAGCTATCAGAGCTAACTAGATATTTAGTTCTGAAAATCAGAGCTAAACATCCCAACAGACTTTCTACTGAAGCGCATGGTGGAGATAGCTCTAAACTATACGTAGCTCTAAGCTAGCTAAACTGTGTTTCAGGAGAAAGGTCATCAGGCTAAATGGACCAAACCAGTGGCCTCTAGGGGGCGTTTGGTCGCCTGCAGCCCGAACTCGTGGCTCTCCTACCTGACAGAGGCTCTCTGGGTTTGACCTCCTCCACCACCTCCTCCTGCACCGGCTGGTCCTCGGGGCCCTGGGACATTCGGTCGGTGATGGACTCCCTCTTCAGCTTCCCCAGGCCCACCATCTTCATGAAGGTCAGGCGCCGGCTGACGGAGTCGCAGTCGCTCTCTGAGCAGTTCAGCTCGCCGTTGGTGAAGGATTCCTTGCGGGAGCTCAGGGAGTCACGGTATTTTCCTGCAAATCTGGAAGAGATGGAGGCAAATCAGGATCTGATCTTTATTCATCACAGAACAGCATCAAAGAACCAACAAAACCAAAGAGAATTCAATGCTCCTATGAAGAGATGAAACGTTTCCGTCACTAGAGGATCTGAGTCATATGTCCTTCGTTTCTGTCGTTTCTTGTTGGGTGGAATCTGCAGCAGGTCTCTTACCTCAGCAGACTGCCCTCTGAGCTCCTCCTGCCTCTCTTCTTCTTCTGCGAAGGCGACGGCGTTCCCTGCAGCGACCCCTGTGGGGACGGCGTGTCGCCATCTTTGCTCTTTCCCGACATCCTCAGGTTCTTCCCCAGTTTCCCGAGACTCTTCAGCGGCGACTTAAACTTGAACGAACCCTTCACTGACCCTCCGCTGCCGTTTCCTTTCTTGCCTTCGTTGGCCTCGTTCTCGTCCTCCTCGTCCTCGAATGGGTTGCGGTCCCTCGGCACGTCGCCGTCCAACAGCGAGCTGCCCGGCGACCAGTGCCTTTCATGGCCGCCGTTGCTGTGGATGCTGTCGTCGTCGTGCTCGAAGGGGTTGTGGTGGGGCGTGATGTTGAGGCTCATCCTGCGGAAGAACAAGGCGTTGTCTAGAAGCGGACCGCTGCCTTTCAGGCGCGCAGGGAGGTTCTTGAGGAGAGGCATGATGGAGCCGGGGGTGAGGGGACCGGGGCGGGAACGCCTGCGGACGAAAGACGAGATATCGATCGATCGATCAACCAATCAGTCAGCCCTGCAGTCTCTAAAGTCCAGATCTAAACCAAAACAAAACTAGATATGATCAACAATGTTCCGTTTTAAAACCAGATCAGGTAAAAATGTTCCGGCCACAAATCGGCTCAGATTTTCTTCAATTTGGTAGATCATTGATCACCAACACTTCCCTGAGAAACCGATCGTATCCATCCTCCTCCAGCCGCTTGCATTGGCGCCAACTTGGCAAAGGAAAATCAGACGGTCAAACTTTTTAAAGGTCGCCGTTGGTTCATCCCTCATTTCGAGGTTTTCAGGTTTACTGTGCAACAGTTTCTCACCACGATGCGTTCATGGACACATAAACCACTGGAGACATTCAAGGACTAGAGTTGGACTGCATGTTTACTTCCTACTGTCCAGTAGGGTTCATCAACCTTAACCTCTGACCTTTACCAGTCCAGACTGGAAACAAGACTTGTTGTTTTGTTGGCTCATCCATAGTTTCAAAACGGGAAAGTTCTTTCTGGAAAACCTCAGATCTGTGAGCAACAAACTGATCCAATCTGTGCAGAAATGATCGAAACTTCCTGTCCTCCAGACATGATGTCCTGAGGGATGATGGGATCTGATTCTCAGAGCCTTTCAGGCTGATGGCGTTGGGACAACATGTCTCCTCTTCATCAGGTCACTGATTCATCATCATCATCATCATCACTTCAAATCCTCGTTTGTTGAATCATAAACTGGTTTTAGTCTGAAAGGTCAACAGAAACAGAAATCTCTACAAACTTCATCAACTTGTTCATTTAACACAGTGCTTCTCAAATAGTGGGGCGGGCCCCCTTTGGGGGGCGCGGTGCGATACCTGGGGGGGCGTGTGATCCTGGGGAACAGGCTTTTTTTTGGCCGTACTAGTATAAAGTGTAATTGCGCACAGTAGGCGGCAGTGGCGCTCTCATTGTTACTTCTGTCACGTTTGCGACAGTGCAACATTTTATGACTTACAAGACAACAGGTTTGCCTTGGTTAGCAGTGTTAAGACAACAAAAAGCTCCGACTGCGTTCTGTCTATGGCCTCCGTTATTCAACAACCCCAACATGAAAAAGTTTTTCACAGGGATGAAAAGAAAAGCGGAGAGAGACAAAGATAATGAGACAACAGAAAGTCAACCGAAAGCTAAGAAGAGGAAATACGACGAAGCGTATTTAGCGCTTGGCTTCACTGTGACTACAGTTGGAGAAGAGGAAAGACCGGTGTGTTTGCTGTGTCTAAAAATGCTCGCAGCGGACAGCATGAAGCCAAATAAATTAGCGCGTCACTTAAATACGTTACATCCCAATCACGCCGATAAGCCGCTAGAGTTTTTTCAGCGAAAAAAATGTTAATAAGGAAAAAATGTTATGCAGAGATGGATAGTCACGGTGGGGAGTGGGGGGCGCGAATAGTTTTCTTCTTGCTAGGGGGGCGTAACGGAAAATAATTGAGAAGCACTGATTTAATGGCCATAAAATCAGGCACAAAGAGACACGCCCCGACAGAACCCGAGTCCAGCAGGTCAATGTTTGACGAGCAGCTAAACATTAACGCCCGACTTCAGAGACGCTTCCTGACTTTCCTCTGCTTTTCCTGCAGACATTTTGAAGATCTCTGCGAATCTCTCTCTGCCTTCCTGATTGGCTGAAACATCAAGTCTCCAGTTTTACGTTCTGCCACCAACAACTTCAACGACGTCCAGCTCAAAGCAGCTGATCACCATAAAACATGGCGGAACAGATCATCAGATCAGTCATGAACCGCCAGGATCTCACAGTCCGAGCATCAGCAGGACAAACAGCCATAAAGTCTGCAAACATTAACAGACGTTGGGCGTCTGCAGACGTCTCTGCAGAGACGTCTTTGGGACACCGCGGTGGTTGCTAGGAAAGGCGTTAATCATTAAATCGGCCCTCAGGTGAGGCGCGTCGCTGTGAACCGTTTCTGAACATCCCTGGTGACCGATGAGGCTTTTACAGCGTCGCTCCCTGATCAGGAGGGTGGAGACGCATCGTCTGCTAATCAGTCAGAGTCACTGAGCCAACAGGCGACCGGGACCAGAACCGGGTCTGACCGGGTCTGACAGGGACCAGAACCGGGTCTGACCGGGTCAGCTGCTGGGTCACTGCAGGCCGGATCTCTGTCAAACTGTCATCAACCTTCTGGGGGAAAGAAAATGATTGGCCAACAACTGCTTCAGTTTTGCAACCAAATTCTAGAGTTTATCTGGAAAAATGAGTTCAGGGAAAGTTACGTGCGCTAACTGATGAAGCGCTAAGCTAAGACGTAGCACTGCCGCTGTTAGCAAATGTTAGCTGCTGTGAGCAGCTGTTAGCAGCTGTCAGCCGCTGTTAGCAGCTGCTAGCAGCTGTTAGCAGCTGTCAGCCGCTGTTAGCAGTTGTTAGCCGCTGTTAGCAGCTGTTAGCAGCTGTTAGCTGCTGCTAGAAGCCGTTAGCAGAAACAGGTTTTTGCATCTCAACCGTCACAGGAGGAGATTCTGAAACGTTGAATCTCATGGAGTCTTTAACCTGCTGATTCTTGGACCTGAAGGTTTTCTGTGTTTAAAGACGCAGCGGCGCTGCAGGTTTGGATGCTGGCTGGTAGCATCCGGGTTGGCCCCAGATGAAGAGCCGGAGCAGCGGCCTCTGAAGCGTAAACAGCCCTGGAGGTGGACTGGGACCGGATGTTGTTCATGTTACTGGTTTCCAGTCTCACCAGCTCAGGACGGGCGGCTGCTGCCAGAAATAGAAACCGCTTCTAACGGAGCAAACAGACTTAAAGGAAAGTCTCACACACAGAGACGCTGCTGCAGGGTGAAGTGGGAAGTGATTCAGTGGCGGTCGCTTCCATAAATACCCAGCAGCCCCGGCGGCGCTCGCACAGCCTGTTTTCTTCCAGAGGGTCGCAGGGCATCGCGGAAGCTGCTGGACACAAACAATGGAGCGGAAAGGACAGCGATAGTGTGACGGACGGAGCCCAGGGCTCCGGGGTCCCATGCTGCTCGCCGCAGGGCGGGGCCCGGCTGGCACAATGCTCAGGGGCCCCTGGGCACCGTGGGGTCAAAGGGCATCGGTAGCTCAGGGCCGGGGCTTCATCGCTTCAGGCTGTTTGCTTCTCTGATTCTGAATCATTTCAGTTTTTTTGTTGCGGGTTTGATGGTTTCTGCTGATTTTTTGCCTCTTAAACTTGGAAATATTTACAAATATTTAACATTTATAACCTTTATAAGCCGAGCGTCACGTCAGATTCACTTCATTCAGTTGAATAAAGTCATCGGATCAGGTTCTAATAGAAGCACTTTCATCTCACTGAGCTTCACCTGGATTCATTTCCCAGAGTTCATTTATTTTCAGTTGAACAGATTTGAAGATCTGCTGGTTAAAAATCCTTCAAGGACTTTATTAGACCCAAAAACTTTATTTCAAAAAGAAACAAAATAAAAACAGGTGGGAGCGTTAAATGATCTTTTCTTCTGTCTTTATGATTCATTTGCAGCTTTCTGATCTTCAGGATCTCCTGCAGTCAAATCAAAGTCATGAAGATTTATTCACAGAAAAATGGAAGTGTTGGTCTCGTCCTGCCAGCAGCAGGTCGACCTTCACCTCCCTCTCAGGTTCCTGCGAACAGAACGTCGTGTTCAACAGGACGAGGCCACGTCTCGACCTTTTATGGTCACCAGACACAAACAGGAAACCAGGAAGGCCAGCAGATACCCAGCCAGGCTCGGCTGCGACCTGCAGCCGCGTCGCCACAAACGACTGCAGCAAGAATCAGAATCATTTCATGAGCTGATCGACTACTTCCTGCTTCAGGATCCCAGCTGCTGATTGGTCAGAACCTTTTCAGACACACAGCGGAAACAGATGACAGTCATCGCAGATTTATTCCTGGTTCATCAGACAGCTTGCTAAAAAAGAACAGAACTTGTTCCTGTGAGGAAATCCTGGAGATTAAAGTTTATTAATCTGAGGCAGAAAAAGGAGAAAACAAGGAGACGACTAGCAGGACGAATGAGGGATGAAATCCTGCGTCCAGCAGGACAGCAGGACAACTGACCGACGGTTTGAAGGTGAATTTGAAACTGGAGTTTTTCTGCCTGCACAGTTCAGACCCTCCTCGGTTTCCTGGACCGAACCAGAACATTTTGGGCTGAACTCGGCCGACTGAGCTTTAATTTGACAAACAGAAACGATCTTGTGTCATCAGTTTGATGTGGACGTTTCCCACGGCGCTGCAGGCCGGGTCGGTCAGCGGGTTCTGGAACATGGGCCCAGTCGGAACCTGTCACTCATTCTGTGGGTCAGAACCAGAACTCTCCTCTGTAGCTTCATCCCAGCAGCTGAAACGCTGCTGAGTCGGAGCTTTGCTTTAATGAGACTCAGATGCGGCCCAGTCGCTTACCGGGCCACAGGTTCTGAAAGCTCAGAACCGCCCTGATCCTTCACCCGCCTGCAGCCGGACTTACACAACCCGAACCAACTGCTAATATCTGGTTAATATCCGGCTGGAAGGAAACGCAGACGGAGCCGCCTGAATGCAGAAACTCCTCACAAACATGGCCGCCGGCCCGGCCCGGCCCGGTTCACAGCCGGTTAACAAGGTGATAGAGACTCAAACCCAGCTGGCAGCAGGACTTAAGATGTTTCAATAAATAAAGTGGTAAATATAAAAATGTCAGCAGCTGATGGAGAATCTGAAGGAGTTTAAAAACCCGATCAGAAAAACTCCTTAAACAGCCAAACTGTTAGCGATGCTAACAAGATTATCATAAACATTCATTCTGCTAATGCTAAAGCACTAAACACAACACTAAACCACAATGTTTAGCACTCAGCTGGGTAGCATTCACTACTGCTAACTAGCTGAGTGCTAAGGCGCTAACCTGAATTCAGAACTGATCTGGTTCTGAGAAACGATTCTTCCACAACAACCTCAGAGAAAATCTGCTGATT